CTCTTTCACATCAGTCGGAAAAATATCCTGTTGACATGACTTAGCTGGTGCACTTTGTATCATGCTTATAACATCATCCTCAGTCACAGCAGTAAATGTTGATAGTTCTTTAAACTGAACCCCAGTTGCGATGACATCCAGCCTTTCTGAGGGCGCCAATCCGTCCTTGACTTTAGATAATTTTTCCACAAAAAAATTCATGAACTGATCTGCAGTTAACCGCTCAGCATCATAGCATATGCTATCCTTATTACCTCTACAAAGGATCTTATCTATTACCCTCCATAGATTCTTAGGATTACCTTTTTTATCATTGACAATGACGGTCCAGTACTGACTGCGTTTAACACCAAATATCCTGGATTTTTCATCTAAAGCTCTTTTCCATTCTTCTCGATGAATAGATTGATGACTCCTTCTAAAAATTCGTTCTTTTTTCCTGCATAATCGCTTCAAACGATAACACTCATCGTCAAACCATGGGGCAACACGATCCCGTTTAGTCAAGACAGTTCGAACAGGTGCAATTACACCAGCAATTCGTAGAGATTCATTGAAAAACAATTGAAATTCAGCGTCAAGGTTATCACTTATGCAAGGTCTCGATATCGCGGATTCCAAAAAAGCTCTAGTAAAGCCGTCATTGTCCATTCGATTCCAGGATCTGATTTTTTTGCAAATGTTAAAAGAGTGGTTACGAGTAATTGACAAAGCTACTCGAATAAAGCCATGGTCAGAATAAACACCACTAGGAAATGTATGTATGTATGTATGTATGTATGTATGTATGTATGTATGTATGTATGTATGTATGTATGTATGTATGTATGTATGTATGTATGTATGTATGTATGTATCAATATCAATATCAATAATTTATATAGCACTAATTAGATAAAATTCAAAAGCGCTCTCACACATTAAACATATCAAAAATCAATAGTTAAAGGATAATACATAATAATAAGCAAAATCAAATACCCAAGACGAAACACAAAAAACAGAGACAATTGATATAAGGTGATAAACAAATATCAAAAATAAAAAATCAACTGTCATGACAATCAAACCATTTTGAAATCCAGTGAAGAAATTAAATAAAATTCAAAAGCGAACTCAACGTTAAACACAACATGAAATATGGATAAATCAATAATCCGACGGTAGATGATAATACATAATAATACGTAAAGTCAGAAATGAAAAACAATAAATAGAAACAACCGATATATAAGATGACTATCTAATAAAAAAAACAAGCATCAATTGGCAAGACAATAAAACCGTTTTTAAATCAAAAGAAATTAAATATATACACACACACACACACACACACACACACACACACAAACCCACCCACCCACACACACACACACACACACATACATACATCATCTCTCATAAGAAAACAAAAATGTTTTAAGTTCTTTTTTAAAGCGAGTAATGGACAATCCTGGATCTCTGAGATGTACGGGAAGGCTGTTCCAGACAGTTGGTCCAGAAACCGCAATACTACGTGAACCAAAACATAGATTGGCAGTCGGAACTTTTAACAGATTCGCAGAAAACGATCTTAGACCAGACCCATAAGAATCTACTGAGTACCTTTTAAATTTATCCTGTAAGTATGCTGGTGTCAGGCCATTCATTGATTTATGCAACAAGACTGATATCTTGTAGATTATTCTTTTATCGACTGTCAACCAATGCAAACTTTTGATTATGGGCGTCACGTGATCATACCGTAAACCACCAACCACTACTTTTGCCATACGATTCTGTAGAGACTGCAATATCGCAGTAGACCTCAGGGGTAATCCATAAAACAAACTATTACAATAATCAATTCGCGAATGGACAAATGCATGAGCCAAAGTCTGCAGTGTGGAAACGTCCAATGAATTGCGAATTTGGTTAATCCTTCTAATCTGTAGCATACAATCTCTAGAGAGCATTTTGAAGTGCTGTTTCATCGACAAGTTTGGATCAAATATGACACCCAAATTCTTTGCCTTATCACAGAATGGAATTACCACGTCATTGACAAAAATTGAATCAGCATCTAATCTGGACAGCTGTTGCCATGTTCCAACAGGCAACAATTTAGTTTTATTTTGATTCAACCTTAAGCCATTTTTCGACATCCATAAATTAACCGCCAACAGACAGTCCACCAGGCCATCCAGCTCAGCCTGAAATGAGCTAGGTGAACCACTGACTATTATCTGAATATCATCTGCAAAGGCATGACTCGAGAAGCCAAATGATTCAATAACCTT